TGCGCTCGCACGCAAGCTCGCTTTCCTTCAGCAATAGTTGGGTGCTGTGGATCTGTATGCTCATCCATGCAGACGTGATAAGCCGAATCCCCGCAGTCCACAAGACTTCTAAAACCCTCTCTACATCGTAGCGGGATGAATGTTGCCAGTCAAGAGCCCATGCGTATTCCATTTTAGGCAGCGTGGAAAAACATGCAGCTCAAGACAGCGCTGGCCAATAAAGTTGAATTCCTCAACGCCAAGTCAAAATCCAAACCGTACACAAACAAGGAGAGATCAGGATGATGGCGCGAATTCATCAATTCAAGGCATTCGAGTATGTACAACTGGGGAGCAGAGCGGCAAAGGCATTGGCCGGGAGGCTTCCAAAAGCAAAGATGATAAAGTTGCCCATCATTACAGCCAGCCGTCCAAGAGGCTCAACGTTGCAAACGAGCCCTGACACCAAACAGCCTACCCGTGTTGCCTTCTAGTGACAGGGCAGATAGCCCGATAAGTATGTGGGATAGGCATGCAGGCCTTCAATAGTAGCCTCCGTGTCCATGGCAGTTCAGGAGCTGGCTGGGCTCTTCTAGCCATATCAACCCAAGAAGGTATCCCAAGCGGCCACCGGTAATGACGGTGTCGCCACCATGAGCGAGCATTTTCAAGGCTTGTTTCAGCTGGGTGCACAGGGCTGCTTACCTGCCACTGGCCACTCACCCCAAGATGTCTCACACATGACGCCGACAATCACAACTAAAAGTGGAGCTTGGTTTGCCACCGACGAAGTAGGGACCCAGCCTTGGGTGTGCCGGTATAATGATGTACACTTCAACGCCCGGGCAGTCATAATTGCCATCTTGGGAGGCAACTCAGTCAATGATCCCACGAGGACAAGGAGCGCGCTCTGATGGAGCTGTTCAGAAACAGCCATACGCACCAAATTGGCTGAACCAAGGTTATCAGGAGTTTAGACTGCACAGGGTGACAGAGAGCGTTGGGAAAAACCGGAATCTAGCTCAGCTGGTTGAAATTGTTCAAATCGGTGAGGCCATGATTGTCGGAATGATAAAGTCTACGTTTGAGATTAAAGGCAATCAGCCAGGGACCATGGATGCAATGTACAGCTGCAAGCAAGTCATTTAGCAGCATGACATTCTCTGCTGAAAGCAAGGCTGTATTTTGCAGGAAGCCGCCAGCGACAGGAGGTCAAAGCGGGAATGCTTGTGGTGTAGGTGGTGCAAAGCTTCACGGGTGCAGCTACGGTGTGTGGCCCACGGACCCATAGCGAGTCGCTAAGCTCCTGAACGCCTTTAACGAAGGAGCAGCCTGCGCTTGCGTGCGGAGATCGTGGGTATTCTCAGGTGGCTCAACCTCCTCTAAGCTGGAAAGCGGAGCCCAAGCCGCTTCAGCGATTAAGGAGCAACAAACAGCTGCTCAACCTCACGAATCTCACGGCAACCCCAACAACATGTCATCAACAAAACGGGCCGCTCCGGCTTCTTGGACCCCTTTTTTCTTTCTCCGCAAGTCCTTCGCAGTCGACGAGCTGGTTCTGTTCATTCGCCTGCAGTGCACTCTGCAGTCATCATCCTCTGCGACTGTAGGCCTCAAGGCCTTGATGCGTCCGAGTGGTGCCTGGTGTGCCAGTCCATGAATGCTCCACTTAAACTAGCTATTTCGCAGACAATCACGTGTTGATTGACCTTGTGCTCTTGCTGCACCTGTAGCTGCCCCAAGCCATCTCCGCGTGAGCCTTGATACCCTGAGCAACAGCCACGTCTGCATCCTGCTGATCCCTGACATCCCCATCTGCAGGGACAAGCTGCTGTATCCGATGCTTCGATTTTAAGCCCCCACCGCCAAGCCGGATTCAGTGCCATGACCCGCATGGCACATAGATCGCAGCATGCTCTGAATTACTCGCCGCTGAATATCTGGGATCCGGCACCTTGCCAGCCACCAACAGTAACCAATCAGCAGAGCTCGCAGCGTGCCAGAGTCTCACAAGCTGGCTTACGCAAACGGCTTGGAATGGTCCGCAGACCTAAGCCTGATCGTCTGTAGGGTCTCCAAAAGTAGACGAGAAGCAGCGCTCGTGTACATGTGAGCCTTTTGTGTGTAGCTCCTGAATCGGAAGCCGTCAGGTTCGTTTGATAGATGTCTGCCTGCGCTTCAAGAAGTCTCATGAACTCTCATGGCTGCGCAGGGGGTTGAACATTTTGCATCGGGGGCCGGCGCTGCTATTCACTGTCGCGCGAGGGTGGCGACTTGCGGTGGCGCATGTGTTATCTCCTTCACATATCTTCGCTTGCTTTTGCGCCTGCTGCGTTCGTGAGAAGCGCAGCTCTGAAGGTGGACCTGCATGTTTGCACCCGCAGCTTCTCAGGCTCCATGCAAGTGACAGCTTTCAGGTAGTTCATGAACGTGTTGGTAATTATGGCACATGCACCAAGTCTCTGCTTTTGCAGGCTGTCGGAAGGCAGGTCGTGCAGGTGGAAGCCAAGAGCATGCAAGAGCTACACAAGCATGTAGGTTTGCGTCATGGGAACTGTTTACCGCATCTTTCAAGGCTTGTTTGCATGGTGCGCTCCCTAACTCAGAGGTTTTCTCAGCAAGAGGAGCTTCATGCTTGTCAGGTATTGTCTCAACCTCGCGATACAGCTCTACTCAGCGTTGCCTCAACTGAGTGTGGTGCTTCTTTTGTGAACGCTGCGTGCTCAATTTTTTAAGGTTTCATGCCCCTCGCTGCCCAGCAAATTTGAGCCAACAACGCTGTTATCGTCACTTGGGCTAGTGAACTGGATTCTGTAGTGAGGTGGTCGGCTGCGTGCGTAGTCACTTGGCACAGGTCCTTTGTATCAAAGAGATGAGTTGGTCGACATACATGCGGAGCTCTCATCAAACAACACGTAACGAGCTTGGCATCAGCCGGCAATCCCGTTGTGTTGCTAACAAGGTCTTCGTTACGACGACAGCAGGGTTGCAGTGGTGGACTGATGAAGGCGAGCCATGCCCAGCTGAGTTCGTGCTTTGGGGCTGTGGGACTTTCTTCAATTTCAGGGCTTACGAACACATCTTTTCGAAAAGGCGTCACGTCTATCTGTCACATCCCCAAGGAATCGACCGGCACAAGTTTGCCAAGGGCGTTTCCTGCGCCCTGGGTGAGACACGGGCATAAGTTATCGCCAGCGTGGCCTTCAACAGCAACGGTAACAGGTTGCATCTCTCTGCTCCAGTATTCGATATATCTTCCATTTCTTTGTGTGCATGTTCTTCTTTTTCCGATCCGTCCGTCTGACAGAAATATGGGATGTCTTCAACAGGTACTCGCTCTGAGTATCGCAGCGCACCTACTGCTTCATGTAGCTTTGGATGACGGAGCACTGTTCGCAGACCCTCATACGAGAAACGCATGTTTTCCCCGGAAGCCTCACATCGGTAGCCTTAAGTACCCAACAACGTTGCCTCACCTTAGACATCAGGCACCTGGACCTAGTTTTCGCATTTTTCCGCGTGAAATGCGCTAAAACACAAGGGTGCCAGTCAAAGAGGAGGCCGGCCCATGGACCATGACCAGGATCGCGGATGATCTTGGACCCCCTGATTATGATGATGACATCACTCCAGATGGGGCACCACCGGAGGATGCGGCCCAGAAGAGATGGAGGCACAGCAGGACGGTGATGAAGAGCTCATCCCGGATCTTCCTGGTCCAACTCGGCGGTTTCGAAGCAAGAAGCCGCATGAGCCACATTCCTCGACGAGGTGTGCCTACTTCAGATCGGTTATCATCGTCATGGTGTCACAGTCTGTCATGAGCCTTCCTCGCAAGAGTCCTGGCACGTCGACGTGCCAAGTGGTAAGTGGGCCAACTCGAGCAACGACAAATGAGAGATAATGGGAGGACAAGGGTTATGCCGTGGATATCGCTTTGGACTTCCCCTGGAGCGCCAACAAGCTCAGGCAGTTTTGTTGTAGGGACCCATCTCAGTACTTCGTCAAGGCTATGAAGCGCAAGGGCATCGAAGTCTTTGAGAAGCGCATGTCAGAAGAGGAGAGGATAAGTTGAAGGGTGCAAAGAGTGCCGAAGTGAAGAAGCACCTCGCAGCTAAGGCCTCAGCTACGGCCGGCTTTTACGGGAAGCTTGGTGGCGTACGACGAAGGGTTCAGTCGTGCAGAATTCAAAGATGGCCCAGGAATACGGACGTTTGCCAGATGAAAATTGATACAGCTTGGGGTGCAGCCGCCGATCGCCATCAATTGTGCTGGAAATAAGCTTGCAAGTGAGCTTCGGAGGGTGCCATCTGCGTCAGGCGGGGGTCTCCTCGCTTGTTGGGTCCATGCTTCAGCACTAGCAAAACTGCAGGCAAGCTCCTTGCTTTTATTTTTGCTGCTGCGCATGCTGACAGACGCCGCGTGCACTGCGCGTGCACACAACGTCCTGCCTTCATACAATTAGCAATCACGAAGAAGTTGTACAACGGACCTTGCGCTTGCGGCGTCGTCACCTGCAGGACGCCCACATACGCCCACAGCACAGGGGGGGGTGGGCACCTCACAGGCAATACTTTAGGGAACCGTGTCCATGTGTCAGTGAACATGACATAACGATGATGCTGGTATAGCTTGGCGGCACTGTCACTGGTTTGTGCAATGTGAGCAGCCACAGTATGGGCGGGCAGATGTAGCAAAGCCGGAGGTCAGGTTGCTGCTGTGCATTTGGGCCGGCTGCTTTGCAGACAAGATTCACACGTTTTTGCCACATGCGTCGAGTTCCCCCTGCGTGCAGGCTTCAAGCAGCTTGTTCCCTTCTTCAACACATCTGCCGTGATCTCAGGGAGGGCTTCTACTTCAATCCATCTCAATCAGCCTGAGGTTTCTTATGGAGGTCTTCAGTCGCCTCGTATCTCGTGCCTTTGTCAAGTTCGAGCGGAGGGAAGTGTGAACCAGCCTTGCAGTTGTATGGCAGGGCGATCCTCCCGCTTTCTAGATCAGAACTGCAGGGGGTCCAGGCCTCCAGTAGATATGATAGCACTTTTGAAAGAGCGCAGCTCAGGTCCGGCAAAACGAGTCAGTCCTTCATGCGCACTGCTTCTTCGTCAGATCTGGTGTGAGGATCGCTTCGCAGTTCTGTTTGCACGGCTACTCCTGGGGTGGATCGGAGCGGTGTAGCAGCTTCATGTCTCAATAGCCTGTGTCTTGGAACTTAACAGCTGCGCTGCCGCAGCTTGAAAAAGTTCCAACATGCTCTGATTCAAACCAAACTCAGACCACCAGCGCAGCCGCGTAAGCATAGAAGTTGCGAACCATTCAAATATCATGCGGCATGGCGGCAGGATGGCCAGGTGGGGTGGTCAAAGATGTGGTTCTCTACTCCATCCGGATGCCGTTGCAAGAGCTTGCCACCTCTTGCTGCTTTCTCCAAGAGCGAGAGTCACAGGATGCTGGCGGGGATTCTTGGCAGGGTCAGGAAATCCACAATCACCAGACCGAAGCCAAATGAGGCCAGCAAATAGCGCAGACCACATCGGTTCATAATTCAACATAGCCGAGAAGACAAGAAAGTCAGGCAAACCAGACCAGTCAAGTTGAAGAGCCGGCGCTGTCCGCGAACATTTGAAGCCTTGAATTCCGCGATGCGTGAGCCCAGGAAATTTTGAAGCTGCTGCACAACAGGTAGCCAAGATTGTACGTTGGAGTGACCTTATGCTGCAGGAGTTAGAAATCTTGGAATATGCCTTGTCGTGGACTGCAAAGTCACGGTTCTGCTTCCAGAGTCTGTGTTTGATTTATTGGTGGTTGCATGTTCTTAACATGTCTAAAAGGAGGCTGTAAGGATGTCACTGCAACAGCCTGAGTTGTATGAACCCGCCTGCCAGCAGGCTGGCAGATGAGATTCGCCGCTTGCCTCGTGCTTAGGAACGAGATGGAAGGTGTAACGCTCCCCTATGTGTAGTTCATCTTGGTAAGCTCAGAACATTCCGTGAACTCCCGGGCGTGATCAGCGACAACGCGTCCACGCCTTGCCGTCGCTAAGCCATCAACCGTGCGAAGTCATATCAGTCCGCGCCAGCAAAGGTTACATGCAGCGGCGCAGATTACCAAACACTTGCCGCAGGCAAGGGCAGGGGGTAGCAAGGCGGTAATGGTGCAACTGTAGCGCTGAACTTGGGCAGGTGCAGCAGCATCGACGAAATCTTCTGGCCAGCAGCCTAGACCATTCACAGAAATGTGACCCGCCGCTTGTGCAGCTGGACAAGTTCTAGCATTCCTGGAGGATGTTCTGCAGAGATTTAGCTCGTAAGTTGGGCTAGCTGGTGGTCTCGCTGTTGCGATTCTGCAAATTCTTTGGATGTTTTTGTTTTTTCTCGTTGTTCGCTCGCGCTGGAGCTGTTGGTCGCTGGTTCGGTTGAAGTTGTTCTTGGATCTACGCTGGTGCTGCTGGTGGCTGGGCCTGCTGCAGATGGAGATGCTGGCGTTGGTGGTGGCGGTCACGGCAAGAGGTGGGCTGGTGGTGGTTGGCCTCGTTTTGTAGATCTACGCTGGCTGGGTGTGGCTGGGTGGCTGGGTGGCTGGG